AGCGACAAAGGCTCCAGCCCGAGCGCCGTCAGCAGCCTCCGGCGGCGGCCATGGCCTGGTCTCCGCGCTCTGCTCCCGCCCCCGGCCCTCTGCGGCGGCCGGCGGCTCCCGTGCTCTGCGCCTGCGCGAGGGCTTGCCAGCGCCCCGCCCCGCCCCGCGCGCCCACGCTCACTCACAATCGCGCACGCGGGGCGCTTCCCGCGCCGCCTCCGGTGCGTGGGTCGAAGACACAAGCTTCTCCCCGGTGCTGGCCGGGAGACTACAGCGATGCACGGCGAGGCGGCAGCCGAACACGCACTGTGACCGGCGCCATTCTGACACACGTGGTCTCGATTACTCCGCAGACCACGAGCAGCACGCGCTCACACCCACACTCACCTGCGGGGACCACGTGGGACAGTGTGAAAGGCGGATCCCAGCCCGGTTCAAATGCTAGAGCAATTAACTCTCGCGTCCGTGATGGCCCAGCAATGCCCAGTCCCCAGGAGGCATTTAATAAACCATTGTGAAATACAAGGTCGAAAGGTGGATCCCAGGAATCCTTAATTTGAAAATTTTGACTCCTTGGCTACAGTTAATTGTAGTATGGAAATTAACTGGTATTCACGGGTTCAAGGTTCGACACAGATTTGGGTGCTCATACCCTCTCCTTGACACCCAGGAATCCCTCTCCTGCTCCAGTCTCCTAAACTAATTTCTTAGTTTAAATGTCAAAGCTTTATAGAGCAGGAAATAGTCCCTAAAACATGGCCTGAGGCATGTTGTGCCACAGGACTTTTGGCAGGGCTTGTGTTACCCGGTTGATCTGTTACTCTGCTGGCCCATGACCTTCCACAATTGCTTCGCTGTTCCTTGATTTCCTTTCGTTCCTGGAGAACCGGTTGTCACTTGAAACTAGGGTGGCCTTTCATTAAGGCAGTGCCTAGGTAGCAGATGAACACTAAGCAATTGGTAAGATGTTACAATTGTAACATCCGGGCTATGCTGATGTTAAGTCACACACAAATTCTGAACCTTTGTGTCTTGTTATAAAAACTGTAAAAACCACTTCTACATTTAACGCAAGCCTTGGAGACAACTGCCAATCAAATCCACAGTAACATGCCTTCTACTGTCTTCCTGTCGCTGTGATAAACTACCCTGACAAAAGGGGGAGGTGGTATTTTAGCTCACACTTTAGCATACAGGCCGTCATGGGGTGAGGTCAAGGCAACAGGAACTTGAACCTGCTGTCAATTTGCGTCAAGTGGCAGAGAGCTGGCAGGCGTGGTAGCACACCCCTTTAATCCCAGCACTGGGGAGGCTGAGGCTGGCAGATCTCTAACCTACATATCCAGTTCCGTGCTACCTAGAGCTACATAATGAAACCCTGTCTCTTTAAAGAAAAGAAAGAAAGGAAAAAAAAAGCAGAGGGCAGTGAATCCAGGTGTGTAGTACTTACTCCTTTCCACTCTCCACTCTTATGCAATCTAAGATATCCCCCCTCCCACCCAAGAAATGGAGCCACCCACAGTGGGTTGGGTCTTCCATAATCATGATAATACCTCCACGACATTCTCAGAGGCCCTCTCCCAAGTGACTATAATTACCAGTAACTGTCACACACTGGCTTGATGGCTCTGCAGAAATCAAAGTTTAAATGTTTGGGGGGATTCTGTTCATAATTCTCTTTTTTTGGAGGCAGGGTCTCTGCATCCCTGGCTGAGCTGAAACTCACAGAGATCCCTGCCTCTACCTCATGAGTGTTAGGATTAAAGGTGTGGGCCACTACCCCTGACCTGTTCATAATTCTTCATAGCCACATTTCACCCACATTCCTCAGGTCACTTTAGGATAATCACTAAGCCTGTCACTATGCCTGTTGGCCTTATATAGCCAACTAAGTAAATTACAAAGGCCACAGGCTAATGATTGAAATAGGAAGCTATCTAAGATAGTAAGACCGTCTGTTGGATTTCCACCTCTATTTTAACTTTTACTACTGGCTCAGTCACAAAAAACATGAGTCCAGAAACACCTAAGTCAAAAAGAGTGTAACATTAAATTTGAGTTCAGTGCATTGGCTCTTCTTGGATAAAGTGCAGAAGCTTGAAAATAGGACTTTGCTATTGTTGCGGGATTTGTGTTTTGTCTAAGTGGAGGGGAAGCAGTACCTCAGCTCTAGCCTTTCCTTTTTTTTTTTTTTTTTATGGACAAAGACAATGTATTCAAAGCACTAGCATCTCACCATAAATACCCTAGACCTGTAAAAGCAAGAAAAAGTCACGTGTCCTTTTACCTTTGAATTTCACAGGAGTGGCCCATAAATGCTGAAGTTCAAAACACTGTAAAGAAAATTACTCTGGTAATGAAAGGGTTACTGCTCTAACATTATGGCTAATCCAGTTTGGGGAAAGCTCTGCCTATGTCAGAAGCAAGTAACCAAATCAAACTGAAAGGAGAAGCCAGGGAAAAAAAAGAACACCTCCACCACACTCCCACACCTCTACCACCCCCCTGAGATTAGACAGAGGGCCACTCAAATAAAAAAGAGCAATCACAATGTTAAGTACTTCCTGGAGACACCCAGCCACCCATATCAAGAAGAACCAGGAGCTATACTTCTGGGAATTACCTGGAACAAACTTAAGGACATTTCTAAATGCCACAGCTTAGTCCTGAAAGGAAGCCACCAGGGAGCTAAAAGGAAAGAAGTGATGGCTTGTGACTGGGGCATGGCAGACCCTGCAGAGTTCTAAAGTTCATCTTCCTTTGTTCTGAACTGCATGGACAGTCAGGAGGAAGTCAGTGCAAAAATCCCAACCATATGTATCTGTTACAGTTGTAGTCATTCTAAAAAACTAGCTCCTGGATTGGAGAGATGGCTCAGCGGTTAAGAGCACTGGCTGCTCTTGCAGAGGACTGGGGTTTGATTCCCAGCTCCCACATGGTGACTGACAACCATCCATAACTCCAGCTCCAGGGAATCCAACACCCTCTTCTGACTTCTTCAGGCATTGCATGACATGGATGCACCTGCCTACATGCAGGCAATACACTCATACACACAATAAAAATAAAATATTTTTTAAATTAAAACATAAAAAATAATAGGCTAGTTCCTGAACTCCTCGTAGAACCCATTGTTGCTGATAACCACACAGAAATGTGCTGTGAGGGCAAATCTGCATGTAATTAGTTGACGACTAGTTCTGTATGCACTGCCTCCTAAATCCAGAGGGAGAGCTCTCTCTCCATTCTCCCACTCCCCCCCTTCCTTCCTCTCTCTGACTCTAGCTCTAGCTCTTTAACAGTATCTCACTATGTAGACCAGGCTGGCCTGGAACTCGCAGAGATCCCCCTGTCTCTGCCTCCTAAATGCTGGGATTAAGTCCCAGGACCCAGAGACAAGATCTCATATAACAGATTTTACATGATGAAACTAACATCCTAAGACCCTGGATAGCCAACATTGAAAATTTAAGGGCAAGGAGACTTTTCATTTGTTCATCATTCACACACTGTTTCTTCTGAGTACTTCAAAATTTTCTTTATCCACTTAAAAAATATTGGATAGTCAAAAATATCTGTACAGTGGGCTGGGAAGACAGCTCAGTGGTTAAAAGTGCTTGCTCAGAAAGCATGAGGACCCGAGTTTGAATCCCTAGCACCCACATAAAAAGCTAGGCATGACTGTGCATGCCTCTAACCCCAATACTAAGTAGAGAACAGAGACTCTTGAGAGCTTGCTGGCTGCCCAACATAGCCAAAATGGTGAGCTTCAAACTCAGTGAGAGACCCTGCCTCAAAACAATAAGCTGGAGAATCGGACACCCTGCTCTGGCCTCCACATGTCTGTGTGGACACACCTACACATTCATGTACATGCACCACACACACATAAACCGAATATACCACACACACACACACACACACACACACACACACATAAACACACACAAATATTCAATAATCAACTGCATAAATTAAGAAAATAAAATTGTCTCATTCAACCTAACTACCCTCATGGTTTCATTTTGAAAGCTAAGTCTATGAAACTAGTCTTGTTAGGTAACATTGTACATAAGGAGAGATTGGTTCTTTTGTTTTTTCTTTATCCATCTGACAGCTGAATTGACATACCATAGAATCTGCCTATATGTTCCCATCCAGTGTTGCCAGTATACTCAGAGTTAGTTACACAGCCATCACCATCTTCAGTTTTAGAACATTTCATCCACATTTCATTGTTGATGGAGAAAAAGTATCCATCAACAATGGCTCTCACCCTTCCTCCTTAGCCCTGGGCAAGCACTAACCCTCTGCCTTTACCTGTGTTCTCCATTTCACCGGAATGAAATCATACACTGAGGGGTGGGGGAGGTGTGTGGGGCTGGGACTGGTTTATTTCATTTAGTACAATATTTCCAGGGTTATCCACACATTACACGTATTGGTACTTCATTATCCTCCTTGCCAAAGAAAAATCCATTGTACGGTTGCCCCATTTTGTTTAGCCATTCATCGAAGAATAAATATTTAGGTTTCAGTATTTTAGGGCTTTTATGAATAATGCTGCTCTAAACATCTGTGTATACATTTTTGTGTGGACATGTTTTTGTTTGTCATGGACATGTACTTAGCAGTAGAATTGCTCTTTCTTCAGCTTCTTAAAGAGCTGCCGAACTTGTTTTCCAAGGTGACAGCCCTGTTTTGCATTTCCTCCAGCCTTATATTCGCTCTTTGATTCAGGTTCAGATGCCTAGTACCTGTTCACTGTGGGACCTTGTGCCAAGTGTGCATAACTTACAAACACCTCCATGTGACCTCTGCAAAACAAGACAAGGGTAATT